ATGTACAAAAACCTTTTTTTTTTTTTAAAAATAACTTTTTTAAAAAGGATAAATTTTTAAGGAAAAAGAATAACTTTTAAAAAATAACTTTTTTTAAAAATAACTTTTTGAAAAAAAATTCTTTTCTTTAAAATCTTCCTTCTTTCTTTGCCTTCCTTATTCAGTTCACTCTTACTCCGTCTAATCCCATCGTTTCTCCTTCCGTTTCTTCCTGTTGTCTTTTCGCTGAAGGAGTATGTCGTACGCTAGGCAATATCTGTTGGACTAGCTGCTACTGCAATCTCTCTTCTATAAGTTACGGCTAACCTTACTGATAAAAAATAAACAATTTCTTACCTTTTCAGAAACTGATTTCCCGCAATAATAATAGTAATTTGGGATATTCTGATCATAGGATTTTGGTAATCCACTGAATACGTCCTGAAAAAAGCTAGAAAGTAGCGGAATGCCTGCTGGTGTTCTGAATAACCCAGGTTAAGTAAATAAGCCACAGAAAGCTAGCCATGGAAATAGGCATAGATGACTTAAAGGACCGAAACGTCTTACCTCACTTTTTGCTTTAGCTCTTATCTTCCACTAGTTTTTAGTTTCCTAATTCAAACAGCAAGGAAGAAAGGTCAAAAATGAGGCAAAAAATGAGGAGTTGTCAGGCATCTATATAACTATCTTTTCTCTTCCCCAACCACTTCCCTCTTGTGTCCTTTTACCATTGATCACTGCTAGTCGCAACAATTACGGATTAATCATTACCTCTTTTCTCATCAACTTCCTTTAAAAAAAAATCCAATTCTCACTCCTTCCATTCAAAATCTCACATACATATGCAATTTTTGGTCATTCCCACATCAACAACTTGACTTAATTACATTTAACATGCTTCATTCTATTCAATTCAATGTAATTTCAATGTAGAAAGCAAAATAATTACATTTGATACTGCATGCGGTAATTTTTTTCCTGTTCCTTGTTCATGCATAAATTCTGTTGATAATGAGACACCCAGTGGACGTTTATCAGCTGCAGGATGACGCACTCCAACAGCAACAGCAGCATTGCCAATAATGCTATCACCAATTGGTATTACATGGCGTGAACGAGCCTAAAATATTTCAGACAATCCAAGGGAGACAGATATATAAGGCAATCCAAGAAATGAGGTCCAGTTGCAGCACTGAATAGGAATGTATGCGACTTGATGGACTGAAACATTCCCATTCAGATTTTAATCTTAACTTATTCACATTTTCTTTTTTATTTTCTTTCATCTTACATAAACACATATCAATAAAATTAAAATTAAAATTCTAAAATTTAGCTTTGCACAGCAAAAATTTTAAAAACCTCACCTCACTAACTGTTCCCTTTCCAGCGATGTTAAGCAACGACTGTGAAGTTTGCGCTGTCCCAGCAAATTCACCGCTACCCGCCTGAAATCATCAACGATTTGCAGCTAAAGACACATCGAAACTCCCAGTTAGTAAGGTAACCTAGTCATGACCCAAGAGTGGTTCGCATGAGGTGCTGATACTAATATATACTAAGAAAATTCCGAGACGTTTAAAGTATGATGTATGACCCTCGCATTGGCGTAAGGTAAAACAGTGATCTTTATGTTTTGCCCTGTTGTGGTGTGTGTGTGTATGTGTGTGTGTATGCGTGTGTGTGCGTGTGTTTGTTTGCGTGATATTCAGCAGAAGTTGTGAGCAAGGTTGAGGGACGGCCAGTGCGCCTCTCCAAGTGCACAGTGCCCGGCTGCTTCTGCCCTATCGATTGCTCCTCGGCCGCCACATGCGCGTGCTCGCGCCGTTGTTCATTTTAAGATTGTTTGTTATATTTTATTGGTGCTGTAATTAAACCCTTATTCACAAGCTATATACGGAGAGACACAACAAAAGAAGCTTTGCTAAATGCTTCTGTTGGATGAGCCATTCAACCGATAATCCCTTTAAGAAACGAAATGAAAGTTAGGATCGCCAATACACCGAACAAGCAAAACAGCATTAGTCAAAATAACGGGAAAAGTTGCCAGCTACATAACAAAGTAATGAATTACAACTGATCCAAATAACCAAGTAAAACATTCTCCAAGGCTGTAGCTGCTCAAAATTTTCACATGGTGCGTTGGAAAACTGGAAAAAAAAAAAACTCGCAACACCTCAAAACGGCAGATTTTTCGAAATTTCCATGGCTTAGAGGAGATGCCAGGAGGTCATTCGCGAATCAAATGCCAAAAATTGAAGTACCACTAAAATTCCCTAAAAATAATTCTCTCTCTACGGATCCTCTATCTTCCCGAAATCTGCTACTACGCGCTTAGTCACTGGAAGTACAGATAAGCAAAACGACGAATTTTATATAGATTAAGCACTGTCAATAATATTCTTACCTGTAAAAGTGAATCGAATGATTTATAGGCTGCCGCATCCTTGATTTTCTTTGGCATTTTAGCAGCTAGCTGTTGCTGGGCAAGCTGTAATGATATAAAAGTAACGAGATTCATCAATTATGAGTATAAATAGAGCGCAAAAAATGAAACCCCCAATTTTCTTGTTAGGTAATGCAAATATCTGTATGAAGTTATATCTATAGGGAGGCACACGCCAAGCCTCCGACTCTGGGTTGATACTTGTGATCTCTATTAATAAGGAATATTTTACTGTTGTTGTTGTATTGTTAATAAAGTAAGTCATCCTACACAGCCATCTCCCGCGTCAGCGTCCCCGGTCATTACTGGCTCGCATGCCACGCAGTTTTCCGCTACACAACATTTCCAAATCTGAACTTCCCTCCTCC